ATGTTCCTAAAGACGTTAGATAGTCCGTTTCCACTTTCCCGATGGAGAAATATGTCCCGATCGGGAAAGATGTTATCTCTCGAACCATAAGTCGTCTAGAGTGCGGGCGGTTTTTATTCTGCTGTTTAGCTGTTTTATATTTGATCTATGTGAAAAGCTGAAGCACCTTTGGTTACGTACGCTCCTAAAACAAACTTCTTGTTGGAACATCGCTTATTTTTATTTCCCAATAGGGAAATAGGACGGGATATTTCCTGTTCGGGAAAGATCAATTATTTCCCGTTTGGGAAAGATGTATTTCCTGATCCAAAAATGGTGCGATACCTTGTACTCTTCTCTAAACCCATTTCGACTTTCTGAGTGCCAAGTAGGTATGCACCGGTATCAGTATATCGAATACCGAAAATACCGATTTTTTTCGATTTGGACTCTTATGAATTTTTTCATTTGAAATGAGATAGTTTAGCGTTATGAACAACCAGACAGAATCAGAGATACAAAACAAAAGCTTTTTTTGCTTTGTAAAGTCAAAATTTTCCTTTATTTTCTATCTGCATATGCTCAGAATACACAGCTGAATGTTTGTTTGTGTTTTGGCTGTCCATGACGCTAAATATCTCAATTTCAAATGAAAAAATCCCAAAAAGTCCACATCGAAAAAAGTCGGTATTGTCGATACCGGTATAACCATCAGAAGTAGTGCTATCACTTGAAGGCTAGTCAGTAGTACTGACTAGCCGTCAAGTGATGGCACTACTACTGACTCAGTAGATATACCTTACGCTTCTAGAACTCGATAACACATGTTTATATTTTTCTACATCCTTCCTTTTTCTTTCTTCCATCTACCTTTTCCTTTACGCTAACAGATGACAGAAATGTCTTTCCCGATCGGGAAAGATTTTGATCCTCCTTCTATTCAACATTTCTATAATATCAGATCTGCTAGACATGCGTGTCAAATTCACCTGGCACCGCGTCAGTCAATACAGTTTTTCGTGTTCGTTCTAATGGAACCAACCAGAACGTGCACGGAAGCGTTATAAAATGCGCTAAACGGTTTGAAAGTAGAGATGTCGAAATATTTCCCGAATAGGACAGATTTCACTTTTGCCGATCAGAACATATTTCTCAAGTGAGAAATGCATCTTTCTTGAACGGGAAATATTTCACTTTCGGGGCAAAGCTCTTAGAGACGGACTGTCAGAGTCCTTTGTATGCTGGAAAATATTTTTTTAGAAAATATTTTGTCTTAATTCTTCGTTAGACTGTTTAGTTGACCCTGCACCATAGACCTTGGTCTGCTTGCTTCGTTAGTCAAATTTGTTGTAACTATCTTTTCTTAATAAACAGAATTATATTAAAAAACTATATCTGTAGGACAGAACCAGAAACATAATCTTGTAAAACCTGATGAATTCTTATATGATTTTATGAAATCTCAAGATGTTGCCGCTTCTTGCATGATCTTACGCAATCTTATGAAATCTTATAACATTCTTGAACCACGATTCTTGTGAAATGTTGTGATATTTTGTAATATGACCTTACAAGATTCTTCGCCCTGGGATGAGCTAATCCGTTATGGTTGATGTCTTTCTGCCCCTTGTCTGTTTCTATGTCGATAGATTAATAAAAACAATTGGCAGTGAGTAGATTTAGAATATTCATTTTCAGCAAGATCATATAAGAATTCATCAGATCTTACAAGGTTATATTTCTGGTTCTGTCCTGTAGATTTACAGATTCCCTCTACACTCTCTTTAAAAATATATTTTTTTTAATCTAATTCTGTTTATTAAGAGGGGTGGGGGTCCCATTTAGATTTTGCTCTAACGTTCCTGGTTTGTAGAGAAGACTTCGAAGTATATGTCCTGAAGTTTCGTCGGCTTACTGACATTATGTTGCTGAGGAAAAAATATTGTTAAATTTTTAAATAAGGGACTATTATTAAAAAAACTCCTGTCCATTCTACATTCATCGTAAAGACTTGGTTCTTGCCTAGAGAACGGTAAAGAAATGTGTGAAGAATATTTTCTATGAGAAAATATGCAAAAATTTTTGTTCTTTCCTTCCTGTTATTAACTAATTAGTACTAATTAACGTTAATTTAGTGTACTCTACTAGCATAAAGTTTCATTTGTAAAATAATGACTCAAAGAAAAAACTTCAAGCAATAATAAAAAAACGGATGGAGGGATCCCCACCTTAAGAAAAGATAGTTACAACAAATTTGACTAATAGAGCAGACCAAGGTCTATGATGCAGGGTCAACTAAAATAATAGCATAAATACATTTTCTAAAATATTTATATAACTTAATTATAAAATAATTAAAATATATATTGGCGAAATCATTTCAGATGTTTCACCTACAACTGTTCCTCTTTTCACTCATTTTTGTCTTTAACATCTAGGACAAAGGATAGCCAAGAATGGGTCGCTGACTAAAAGTAGTATCTAGAAGAAAGAAAGAAGAAGAATTTTTTATGGTGAAAAGAGTAAGCGGGTTTCACTTGCTCTAGTCTTAAAGAACATCGTTTAACATGTGACGTCAATCATAATAGATTAGTGTCGAATAATAATTAAGGATCCCCGCTTTCGAATTATTGTTGTAATACTTGAGATAAAAACACTTTGTTCTTGTATATCCTTGCAGATTTTCGACCATGGAGAAACTAATGAATATGTGTGTAGCGGACTGATTTATTTCTAACAGTTCTAACGTTGAGCTCTTTCGGAATTCTATACACATGCGAAAAACATTTGAATCGCATGATACAAACTGAAGGTTTATAGTTTCGTTTTTCTATATCGAGAAGATAAAATAAAACAATTTCATCTAACGGGACAGAATATTATTTTTTCCGAACTTGTGTCGACTGGTCGACACTTTTCGGTTTTGATATTACCAAAGTCGGTTGTTAGATATTTTACGGGAACTAATTAGTGCATAACTAGCCCCATAGTATTCTAATTGAGAGGGGTGAAGTTAAAGCTAGCATCACAGTCCACTTTGGTTCTTCCGACCGTTAGTTTTGTACTGCCCTAAGGGTGTAATTAGGTTTGATTCAACGTGTAACTATTTAGACGCGAAAAATAGATTTTGTTAAGAGTTACATCATTCGATTCGGCATGAAAAACTGAGGTGACGAAACTTTTTAAAACCTTATAAGTCATTTTGCTCTGGAGAAAGTCAAGTTTGCTCAAGACCTAAGTCTAAAAAACCCGAAATTGACCAATTTCAGTTTCTTATGTATAAAACCATCAGTTTTCGTTCGACTTTTTTGAGCAACATTTCATTCGAAAGAGCGCACAAAGCTGAACAAAATTTGATATTTAAAACTATTTTAAAAAACTATTTTACAAAAATTTGATATTTTTGAAAACTGAGGTTTTTGTGAAAAAACCTGAATATTTTAAACAACCAAACAGAAATGCATAATAAAGTTTTGATATTTTAATAGAGCAAACAATTCTGCATCTGATGCATTGTTTAAAAATGACAAAATCGATGCAACTTGGGATCAAAATGGTCCCACAGTAGCCAGAGCTAGAAATGACCAAAACACAGAAAATGCTCTAAATAATTTTTTTCGTCGTCAAACTATTTTCAATCGATTTTTCAAGTCAAGATTAAGTATAGAAAAACTTTTTCCTCCTTCAATACGCTTTTTTCTATGGAAAAGTCGTTTTTCATGCCGAATCGAATGATGTAACTCTTAACAAAATCTAGTTTTCACGATTGACAGGTCTGCTTAAGGATACTCGATTCACTCATGGAACGTCTCTTAATATGTAGGTGAAGTTAGCAGCAGATTTTAGAAATTTATCCTGATATTTTTTTTAGGATGTGTACAATAAAAACTGATAACTGTACAATATTCAGCATCAAATTCTACCCATTGTACATCCAATTGAACTATTTCAAAACCGGAACTTCATTAGGAAAAAATTAAAATACACTGCAAAGTCGAATTCTCTAGCGGCAGATTTTCCCAGAGACCTGTACAATTAATTTAAATAATACCAGTCGATTGTAAAACTCGAGAACTATGATGTACACTCAATTAAAACTTTTAGAAAACATTTTTTAAAAGCCTGAAAAATATTTAAGTATCTGTAAGATTTTCAAAAATCTCATTATACATTTTCCAGATAGACAGACATAGTCAATGCGTTTTTAGAAGCCCGACTCTATCAATCACAAGTTTCTTAACACAACCAAACAGTTTACAGATCATGCCATTCCCACTAAAGTCTCGAAATTCTCAGAAAACCATTTTATAAAAGTTTGGAGGAGTGGGGGGGGGGCGGCTATCTAACAATATTTATGTCTAATAGTAACAATTTTTTGAACAGTTTCTCTCATTACGGCTTTCTAGAGCTCTCTCCGAAAAACCGCCAATAAAAAATATTTCTGATGAGGAAGGAGAAAGACTTTAATAACTTAAACTTTTTCACATTAACAGATAAATAGAAATAATAGGTTAGAGTACTAGATATTATATGTTTACCCTTTACTTAAAAAGCAAGTATAATATTGTATTAAAGGTTTTACACTCCAATAAGACATTCAATCAGCTGCTTGTATGTGGCATCAACTACTCATAATCTTTGGACTTTTATTTACTTGCTTTTAGAAGATTAAAAATAACAACATTATATTATATAAGTTTAAAATATGATGATTTAACTAGAAAAAGTGGAATATTTTTTTATTATATGTACAAAACAACTCATTTGTCCTTATTGTTCTTCCACTTTACGGAATTTTTTTTCCTTCTGTAAATATTGTAACGTATAACTCAAACTGTTACCAAAAATAATGATTTATCCATGTTTTATTTTGGCATTTTCAACTTGAATAAACAACAAATAAATCTGAATTCAATGTCAGAAAATATGAGTTTTTGAAAGTATAACATGAAAATAAAAGTATACTAGATGAAAAGTAATAATATTGTCAAATCTTTTTTTTAGCAATAACAGATTGTCACTTAAACATTTTTGCTGTGTGATATGTTCATAATATGAGCCTTCATGACTTGACAAACATAGTCAACATCATCGGGTTCCAAACCGTGATGTGCGCCAAGGAGAAAACCATTTTTCATTATTTCGTCTGAATTTGGAAATTCTTGAAGATATTGCCGATATGCTGGATGACGTGTGACGTTACCAGCAAAACACACGCGTGTTTGAATCCCATTATCTTCTAATTTTTGAAGAAGAGGCTTTCGATTTGGAAACATAAGTGGTAGCGCCAACCAATCCATTTTGTCATGCTGTTTAGGTAACACGAGACCGAATTTTTCAAGCTCTTTGAGTTGTTCGACATAACGAGCAACGTTATCTCGACGTTTTTGTTTAAAAAGCGATAATTTTTTCAGTTGTTCAATACCAAAAGCAGCATTCATTTCCGTCGATTTAAAGTTGTAACCGAGAAGTGGATAGAGAAACTTGAAATCATACTCCATGCCATCAATGTCATAACCAAATCTCTCTGAAAAATTTTCGGTATTTGTGCCCATTCGTCCCCAGTCACGATATTGAATTGCCAAATCTCGCTGCTGTTGCTGATTACACATTACCATGCCTCCTCCACCGCCTGCTGTGATTATGTGACTTGAGTAAAACGATGCCACAGATATATCCGTTATGGGTGTACTAGTGATGGTATCGCATGAATCTTCGATTAATAGAATATCTCGTCGTCCCAGCGTAAATAATTCAGCCTTCATTCGTTCCCAGTCGGGCTTACTTCCAATTAAATTGGGTAAAAAGAGAGCTTTTGTTGTCGAGGATACTTTTTCCATGACTTGTTTGACAGAGGGCACATACGATCCAAGTTCAACATCACAAAAAACCGGCTTCATACCGAGTTGTACCAGGGGTGCAACAGTTGTCGAGAACGTACAAGCAGGTGTAATGACTTCATCTCCAGCTTTCAGTCCTGCAATGAGTAACGCGAGAACATTGGCAGACGAGCCCGAATTGACCATGACTCCAAATTTTTTCTCGTATAATTTGGCCACTTCACACTCAAATTTTTCAGTTATGGGACCCGGCGCTAACCAGCCTAGCCGCAAACATTTTTCAACTGCATTTATTTCTTCTTCACCATAGGCCTCAAATTTATGTGGCGCATACCAGATTTTTTTATGATGTTTATGTGTTTCGCTAGTCAACGCGGTCATTGAAAAGAGACTAAAAGCTCTAATTTAGCGAGTTATCTTCGTAGATAGTTTTGTAGAATTGTATATAGTTGTCAAACGAATCGCAATGAAACCAGTCGTCCTAAATCGAACACAATATTATTAGCGTAAATCAGTCTTTAATTCAGAATGATTTGGAAACACTTATGATGGGTCACTCGTTCTTAATGTTATTGGGTATTTTGGTGGAGTTCAGTTCACGTTTACATCAACTTTGTTCGCATAAGCTGAATCTTTTTAAACTGTCTGTAAATGAAAGATCTTCAAACAGGACCTACATAAATGGAGTTAAAAATACTTAAGAAATATCGATGTCATAAAACATTTGATGTTCAACGTGGATGTTTATGAGGCAAAGGCATATAAGTTTTTTATCTATTAAAAGCGAGTGCAAAGCCTCGTATTTTCTTTAAATAACGGGTAGTCCAGATTAAATTCTCGACCTTTGCAAGGCTTTTTTCACAGGTTAAGCTTGATCAGAGAATTTTGTTTGGATGCTGAAAGATAGAGAATTTTGCGTAGAGTTTAGTCATATATTTCTTTTGAAATAAGAATTTGCCTTTTTTCTACACTATAATCCTAATTTCCAGTTTAGAAAATCGACCGAAAAATCACCGGGGATTTTCTAGTTTATAGAAAATCGACTTGAATTTCCATAAATTCGATTTTCTGTCAATAACTTCCACGATTGATGTCTCTGGAATAGACGAATCACAGACAAGGCATGTGAAATATAGATGTTTTTTTCATAGTGTGAGTTCAAAGAATTTTCGTTTGTAGCATGAGAAAATAAACCCGAAAGTGTGGATGCAAAGAAGAGATTTTTGGCGTGCTATCAGCGATAATTCCTCACATTTGATGTTCGATGCCGAGAGCCGAGTTCATTCTTATTCCAATTTAAAATTTTTGCTGATGATGGGCTTTTAGAAAAAGGATTGAGCTGATTTGATGCAGAACGGAAAATGCTGCTTTTGTCCTTTTCTTCTCTCGACCTTATCAACTGCTGCGTCATGGCAAACATGGCTGAAACGCCTCTCTATTCTAGTCCCTTTCTACTGTCTCAAATAGTTTCTGTCAAACTACAAAAATGCATTCACTTTCGCATGAACTGCGCCTTTTGTGATAGACGGTCATTTCTTGCCCTACACTTTCTGAGAGCATTTAACCGTGAATAATTGAGGCATACGAAGTTCTATCTCATCCCAATAATCATCTAGTTTTTTTCTGCGTTTAGTATCTTCTAATAAATTAACTGGCTCGATCGTTCATTCAAAGATATTTTCATTTAGTTATCAGTTACTTTTGCTTCCATTTTAAATTTTTATTTTTTTATTACAATTCTTACAACTTTATTATTCTCCTTTTTTCTTCGCCGGAATCAGATTGTAGGTTGGCAAAATTCTGCTATTTTCCCTAATGTAAAAGACATGATCGTTTTCACTCATTCTGGATAAACAACCACTCTATATTCAAAAGATAGCGCACGTCGAGTATGATCGAATACAAGTATGTTTAAATCTTGAAATTGGGCACAAATGGTATTTTGGATCAAATGCAACTTTTTGTAGAATTGATGTTGGTAATATAGTCATTTTTTGATGAAAAATTAAATATTTTTCGAAAACAAACTATTGGATAGCCCATGAAATTCTCTACAAAGTGAGCTGGTCAGAGTATCCAGACAGATGGGGCCAGTCATTAAAGATAAGTAAAAGAAGCGTTTGGGCGTTATCTATGCAATACAGTGTGTCATAATCAGAAGAACTCGTTTGTTTTTTACTTGTCAGTAGAAGCTGGAACAAATCTGATTGAATGGCCCGAAGATTTTTCTATCAGATGAGGTGCATATCGCCGATTCATGAAAAAAGTTGATAACAGGGTTTCCGGAAAACATAAAGGCTAGAAACCCAAGTCCTTGGTATTTGGTCAGAAAACTTTTCGAACCATATAAACCGATAGAGCTAAGAATTCTGAGGAGAATAAAATATTTCCCGACTGTCCAAAATACTTTTTCACCGGAATGTTTTGTAATTTTCACGCCGTTTGTATTCGTTCGTAAATCGACCAAACATTCCGGTGAAAAAGTATTTTGGACAGTCGGGAAATATTTTATTCTCCTC